ACGCAATTTTTCTTGGGTTTTAGTGCTTTTTCAAATTCAAAACTTGGCAACACTGGATACAACCAAACCCGCTATCGTATATTGATGCTAGCCAACTTCGTTGTTGCTTTTACATGCAAAAATTTTCGTTAAGCGACCGGAACTCAAACACAGCACGCAGCGAAGTGGCTAATATAAAGTTAGTTATAATGTAGCTAGTACAAGAGTTAATTAATGTTACTGTTTATATTTGTAAGAGTGCCAAAGGTGTAAGCTTTAGCGCTCCAAAAAGTTGTGGTTCCCCACTTATTTCAGATAATAGTTGTGTTTGTTTACTCATTTCCAGTAAAATCCAGTAAGTTTTTACGAAATTTTCATGATTTGGCGTTGTCGTACGCAAAAACTTGCAAAGTAGGCGAAATTGAGAGAGCGAAAAATGACAGTTGAAGTGGTAAGTTTTTACTGGATAAATTTTTACTTGTAAGAATTTGCCAGTACAAAAAACAGCTGATCGCAAGTAGAACTTTTCTATGAGAGCGAATTCGGAACACATCAAGATAACCAAACGTTCAGTAGGGAAAACTAAAAATGCAGACCGATAATACTTTTTACGCTGATTTCAACTATATAAATATTATTTGCCGCAATTAAAAAGTAAAGAAGATATAAAAAGTTAAAGAAAGTTTTTGTGGTATTTTAAAATATTAATATTTTCAAAACTACGTAGGTAACCGATTAAGAAAGTAATGATATCAAAATAAAGACAATTAATCTATCTTTAAGTTGATATATAAAATGTGTTTGCTTGCTTATATATTCAAGCCAAAAATTTAAAAAACAAATAAAATGTTATAATTTTCTCATAAAATAACCTTTTTTTGAAACAAGTGCATAATCAATGCTAAAGACATACATATATATTATTTAGAAAGTGTAAGTTCTTACCTTTAATTTGATATGCATACATATTTTATTATGATCTACTTTTGAGATTTAAAAATTCAGTGATAAACAAAATTAAAAGCATTTACAAGCAAGTGACAAGAACTTTCTGCGTAGGCGGCCTTCGACCGCGCTTAGGGATCATAACCCTTACAAAGTAGAATTGATTATGGACTTTTTCTAAAACAAGATTTTTTTATGAAAAAATTACTAAATTTTTTTTGTTTTAAAATATTCTTGGCTTAAATGTATATATACACATTTTATATATCAGATTGAAGATAAATTAATTGTCTTTATTTTGACATCATTACCTTTTGAATCGGTTACGCAGTTTAGAAAATATTAATATTTTGAAATATCACAATTTTTTTGTTTTACCTTTATATCTACTTTACTTTTTAATTGCGGCAAATAATATTTATATAGTTAAAATCAGCGTAAAAGGTACTAGCAATCTGCATTTTTAGTTTTTCTATAGCTGAACGGCTCGTCGGCCGCTGTGGTGTAGTGGTAAGCAGTGCGCGCTTCCACTCCGCAACGCCTGGGTTCAAGCCCTGGTCAAAGCAACATCGCAAAAAAATATAGAAAAAAGGTTTTTTCTTAACAGCGGTCGTCCCTCGACAGGCAATGGCAAACCTCCGAGTGTATTTCTGCCATGAAAAACAGCTTCTCATAAAAATACAATCGCCGTTCGGAGTCGGCGTAAAACTGTAGGTCCCTCCGCTTTGTGTGACAACTTCAAGGCGCACGCCACAAATCTGAGGAGAAGCTCGGCCAAACACTAACATATGTGTAAGCGCCAATCTATTATTATTATTATTATAGCTGAACGGTTGGTTATCTTGATGTATGCCATAATAATAACTCTGGGTTGCGTAGACCCGACGGTCTGGAAAAGTCGGAAACGTCCGATGCATCGGTTTTATTCGATGTATCGAATAGCAAAGATCGATGTTACCGATATATCGATGTATGTACGTTTTACATACCTAAAACTCTAATCTGAAATTAAATTTTAATAATATCGACCTCTTGAAGATAAATTAATTGTCTTTATTTTGACATCATTACCTTTTGAATCGATTACGCAGTTTAGAAAATATTATTATTTTAAAATATCACAAACACAACTAATGATAATAATAGCTGCAATCCCGTATTCCTCGGACTCGGACAAGTAAAACTGTCAAAAAATAAAAATTCGTTCAGAGCGAGAGAGTAACATTGAAAAGTACGGGATCGCTTTCTAGTAAAAAATGGTAACTTCTGTCAACTTCAACATAACCTCCAAATTTTGGTCGTAAATTTTTGCTTAGATTGTATGTAAACACACTCAGCTCACACATGTAAATAACCAAAAATACTTTCAAATTCATTAGAATCCACTTAAACAAGTAATTAAATACTTTTCAACGTGAATTAGCAGAGTGCACTTTTCTTTTGTTTACAATTTGGTTAAAAAACACACTACAGCTCATCGTTTGACAGATTTACCAGAATTTACCAGCGAGAAATTCTCGGACTAAAACTGGTAACTTCTGACAGAGAGAGAACCGTATTTACTCTCTTTTTTGTCCTCTCAATAGTCAGAGAACCGAGTACGGGATCGATTTCCAGTAAAATCTGACTGATTCTGACTATTTCTGACTAGTCCGGACTCGTACGGGATGGCAATTAATAACAACTCCGGGTTGCGTAGTTCCGACGATCTGGGAAAAGACGGAAACGTCCGATGCATCGGTTTTATTCGATGTATCGAATAGCAAAGATCGATGTTTCCGATATATCGATGTACGTTTTACATCTCTAAAACTCTAATCTGAAATTAAATTTTTATAATATCGATCTCTTCTACCTATTAACAATGTACACAAAAAAAGTTTTCCCGATTTTACGAAGCATATTGACACAAGACTTCCATTTGGCACATTTAAAATTTTTGCCTGGTTTCGCAACAACAAATGATGCTCAGCACATGCCCTCCATCCGCTTGCCACCGCCGGGACAGCGAACCTCAATATGCATTTCACAAATACGATGTTATGCAAAAAGCAAAGATAAAAAAAAGGAGAAAGGTAAAAAAATCCCCAAAGTTGAAATCAATGAAAGCCAACTCCGTGAAGTGCTAAACTTCGATGCGGTAAATGGACAAATGCAAAAGGCGGTGCAGCAAATGAAGGAAGATTTTATAAAACATTTGTCATTACGTTCTACTTCTGGAGCTATAGAAACTTTGCGTGTTCACATTGATGGGTCTGAACACGAATTGCAAGAAATCCAGCTGAGCAACTGGTGGCGGGTGGTATGTATACATTGACGATC